ATTGAAAAAGTCTTATTTTAAACATTATTAAATAAAATGTAAATGTTTTTGCTATAAATATTGTAAATTTTGAGCTATTCTGGCATTAAATTTTGTGAATGTTGAAATTTAAATATTACTTATTACAAGTTTTACTTTAGTGTGAATATTGCATAAATGTTGACTTTTTTCGTTTCAATTTGTAATGTAATTTTTTTTTCATTTTAAATGAAAATGTTAACTGTTTCTTAATAAATATTATAATTCTTGTTTTAAATGTAAAATAATTTAACATTTACAACATTTAAAACCGGAAAAAAAAGAATTTTCGATGTTGTAAATGTTGAATTATTCTATTTCAAATATTTATGTAAATGTTGAATTCTGAAAATTAAATTTTGTATAAATATCGATTTTTTTCCGTTTTCAATGCTGTAAACATTGAATATTTCTCCAGTGTTTTTAAAATGTTGACTTTTTTTAAAAATTTTAAATAATATAAATGTTGTATTTTTGCTATTTAATATTATAATTTTTGAATTTTAAAAAAATTAAATGTTGTAAATTTTATTTTAGTGAAAATGTTGTGTTTGTTGACTTTTTCGGCTTTATAAAATGAAGTCGTAAATGTTGACTTTTCTGGTATTTAATGGTATAAATGTTGAATTTTAAATGTTATAAATTTTAATTTTAGTGACTTTATAAATTAAATGTTTTAATTATAAACATTTGTGAATGTTAATTCTCTTGTTTTAGATTCAATGTTGTAAATGTTGATAATTTTTACCACTTCTAACTTATTGTAATGTTATTTAAAGTTGTTAATTTAAATTACGTCATTTCAAATTTACAATTCTTGTAATTGTAAGTTTCGTACATTACATATAAATATTCTATTTAATTTACAAATATTTATTTCACTCTGTAAATGTGAAATTTGTTATTTAAATTCGTAAATGTTGCAAATATTTTTAATGTTTATTTTATGCTAAACTAAAACAGTTGCTTTATTCGTAAATGTTGATAATTTCAATTATAAATGTTGTAAATGCTGATACTTTAGAATATTATAAATATCATTATTTTGTTTATTTTATATTATTAATGTTGTAAATGTTATTTAGCTTGTATATTTTTGTCATTTTATTCTTAAATGTTGTAAATGTTAATAACGTACTTTAATGTAAATATTGTAATATTCCTTTCTAAATGTTGTTTATAAATTTTATAAAATTTATTTTATTTTAAGTAAAATTGTAAATATTATTATTGCTTTCATTTCTAAATTTTATAATTACACTTACACATGTAACAAATGTAATTTAATTTTTAAATGTAAGTAATGCTTATATTTTAATTTATAAATATTATAAAATATTTTATTAAAAATCAAATTATTTAAAATATTTTAAAAATAAATTATTATTTTATGTTTAAAATTCTTTACTAAAATGATTTAAAGTTTAATGAAATTCAATAGTATATAAAGAACATTCTCTCATGAATAACGAATGTATAAAAGAAGATTGAACTTATTAAATACTTACAAATTGAGATTAACTTAAATTAGAATGCATTCCTTCGATGCAGAAACATCAACTTTGCTGAACTTTGTATGTATATATATATATTGCAAATGAGTAATAAAGTTATTGCTAAAACTATTGGAGTTGAATTCTGATGAAGATGCTGTTTTCTCTAATACTTAATGAGGTTAGCTGGAGGTGAATGATAAACGAAGAATTGTTAAATTGTCTTTGTTGTTAGAAATGGTACGTTCCATTTGCTACAATGTTTATATCAGAAAATAGTCTCTAAGACATTTTCACTGCTGACAATTACTAAATTAGAATCATAAACTTTGAAACTACACTCCTATGACTTCAATTAAGAAACAGCTTAAACAGTGCCATTTCCATGCAACTTTTCCTGATAGCTTTACGAAAATTATATAATTTTCTTTACGGTGTATTAAATAATATCAAGCTAAAACTATTTATTATATTCTAAGTACTTAAAAGATAAAATAAAATAAAATAAAGTAGAATTAATCAATAATATATAAATGAAGCAAAACAAAATGACGATACCAGAAACAATGAAACTTTTTCTATTGTTTTCTGGTGTTTATACATATTTTATAACACACAATATGAAATGTAACAGAATTTATATAAATCTAAAGCGAACATTTCGTTAAATTCAATTTATATTGACTTAATATTGCAGTTTTAAACTACCTAAACGAACGCCATTTTGAAGAAAAATATACTGTATTTAAAAAAAAAATTATTTCACACCCTCTAACAGTTTCGTTAAAACATATATCAAGAATAAGAATTCGAAATACTGTATTAAAATTTCGGACATACATACAGAGTAACTGAGCAGATAAATTAAGAAAAATGTAATGACCTTTTTTGTAATTTAACTTAAATAAATAAAATGTATTTCCTGAATATAATTTATTTTTTTAATTTCAGAAAATTTAAAAGTGATTATAATTTTTTTCTACGCATAAAAACACACACACAAAAAAATTATATTCTATAAAAATATAAACATGAAATAAACGAATTAATGAAATTGCATTTTTATTTTATTAAATTTAAAAACAAAATAATTTGTGTATATTAAAAATATAAAAAATAATATATCCAAATCAAATTAAAAATTGATCGTTTATGATAAGAGAATTCTTTAGATAAATACATTAAACACAAGGATATAAGCCATAATATTTCACTAAGAATTAAAAAAAAAAACATTTTAAATTTTAAATAAATTTTTATAAAATTATTACTGGTTTAAATACTCTAAAATGCATTTATTAAATTCAGTGAAACCATTAGTTATAAGCAAGTATAAATCGATAAATCCTACTTATAACTGATGAGCTTTACACTAATTGATTTCAATTATTGAGTTAAAGACGAACAAATTATCAATTTTTTTCATAATTTTCTTGTTTAAATATTTATATTATTTTAATAATCATCATCATTAATTTAATTTTTTTTAATATTTTTTTCTATTTAAATATAATTTAGAAATTAAATTACATGTAACCTATATAGAAATCTAGAAATATATACTGTAAAACCTATCCAAAACGGAACCTGAATAAAACGGAAATCTGTCAAACCGGAAAAGATATTCGGTACCACACGATTCCGGTTTACACAAGTTTTACCGTATTTAAATTTAATTTCTAAGTTACAAAAATTACATTTTTTTTTTAAAGTAAAACTAAAAAATTTTTCAATTAAAACAAAACTGCAGAAAGTCACATTTTATATTTTTAATTTAATAAATTGCAAAATTGTATTTTTTATAGATTTGCATTTTTATAACATTACAATTTTGTATTTTATACATTAAAAATTATGTATAAAATACAAAATTGTAGTTTTATAAAAACACAAATCTATAAAAAAAAATACAATTTTACATGTGTTAATTTTAATTTATAAAATCGCAGTATTTGCATTTTTGTTTTTATTTTATAAAAAAAAATACAATTTTGCAATTTACTAAATGAAAAATACAAAATGTAACTTTCTGCATTTTTCTTTTCCTTTTACAGAAATTCATTGTTTTTTTCATTTTTTAATTTATGAAATACAAATGAATATAATAGATATTTGATAAGGTCAAACCATTGATAAATTACACTAAAAGCACTATTAGAATGAAAGCATTTGTATGTGTATCAAGTATGAGACTGGGAGAATGATAATGAAATTTCTGTAGCAAGATTAACAATATCAAAGGTTACATCCAGATTAAATTTGATTGATGTCTTACGAAATATTTTTATTAATGAGTTATCATAATTAAATTTACGTTCAAGATAATTTTGTTCAATGTACTAAAGGAGCTTGTAATGGGAGTACAGTCGAACCTCCAATAACGGCCACCTCCTAACAGCGGCCAGTTTTTATGTTCCCGTTAGTGTCCGTTGTACAAAGGTTTGATTGTATTAGTTTCTATCAAGATGGAAGATGTTACTTTTAAAATTATCAGTAAAATAATGATGATAATGATTAAATGACTCACAGTATTTTTGAATTAGTGTATAAAAATAATTGTACTGGTAATTGTATTTAAGTTTTATAATTAGGATTTTATTTTTAATTTAAGTACAGATTTTACTGTGGTTAAAGCTTTTATTTATTGTATATTTAATGATTTATACTAATTTTATTTATATTTGAATTAAGAATATTTGAGACATATTAAGAAATTTTGTTTATTATTTATTTAAGGATTTAAGGCTTATATTTATAATACAATTAAAAATTTTTGAGATTTTATGGAATATTATTTATAATTTATTTAAGGATTTTTTCGGGAATTTATTAACAATATTTAGGGATTTTATTAAAATTCATCATTATAAAGTTTTATTAATTTAAAACTTGATATAGATGTATAAATATAAATTATAAAAAGATAAATTTCTATGCTAATAATGCTGTAAATTAAAATACAACCTGTTTTATTTCCTAAGAAACAATTAATTGATGCTTGTAATAAACGTCACAAATCATAAAAGGAAAATACTTCATAAAATAAATGATAGTTACCATAAATTAACATATAAAAAGTACAAGTTTAGGCTATATTAAAGTTACGAAATTTTACAATTTAATTTAAAGTTGAAACATCCATAAATAATTTATCGTGATAATTTTACGTGTGTTAGAAGTGTTAAACTTATAATTTGTCTTTAAGTAACAACACATGAGAGGCCTTCTATTAAATAATAATAAATTTAGGTCCTAAGCTGTAACTCGTTTCAACTTAAAATTTATATACACAAATCCTGTTCTTTGAATTAGTTATAAAAAGGGGGCAAGATGAGTAATTTTNCGAAACGAATATAAAGTTTTTAAAAATGATTAAATTTTAAATTTTTAGAGTTATTAATGATTAAATTTTTAATATTATTCCGAATCAAATTGGTTTTTCTTTTTAATCATTAAATGTGTAATAAGAATTTAATATAAGAGGGGAAGAAATATGCGATAAAAGTAATGATAAGTACTTATCGAGTTTATTTTCTTCAAAAAAATCCATTAAAAATCAACTTATTACTTTATCCAATAATAACTGGCGCTTGTTTTGCAGGTGAATTTTAAATTTTTTGTTTTTTTTTTTAAATTTTTTTCCTCTTTCTTCAATTTGCTGACGTTTTTCCCATAACTTGCAGCTGGACTTTAGTTTTCCACTAACATTACAAACATGTCCTTGGAATCATGCCAGATTGCAGTTGGAATAATGTAATGTGCAAACGACTCCATATTATTTGATAAAAAAGTCAACAAAAATCTAAAATAAAAAAACGATAACATTGAAATCAATCGGACATCATAACAACATATCAAATAATACCGAAATTTATACCATTACAAAAATCCTTTATTTAAAAAAAACAAAATTGCAATGAAAATGTCATTTTCTTATACAATATTCTAAACTAAAAAAAAAACAATTTAAATTAATTAAATAATCAATTAGAATTCACATAAGAATAATTGTCATTTAATTATATAATTTTTAAATTTTTAAAAAATATTAAAAAAATAAAAATTACTTTATTTTTTTTTATTTTGTTCTATTTGAATTAATAAATTAATTTTTTAAATTGCTTTTTATTGCTCTAAAATTATGTTCTTAATTTAAAAAACGCAGGATATTTATTATCTTATTTTATATAAAATAACAGAAATGTCATTTTTTTTTAAATGTAATTTTTAAGAAAATACAT